GGTTCTCTGACATCGCCAACTATCTTGTTGGGGGTGTTGTTCCTTCTGATTATATACCTCATCAACGAAGGAAATTTTTTGCTGATCTGAAGTATTATTTCTGGGAGCAACCATATATGTTTCGTATTTGTGCTGATGAGGTTGTTAGAAGATGTGTTCCCCTTTGTGAAGGAGCTGAAATTCTTAAACATTGTCACTCCGGACCGATCAGGGGACACTACTCTTTCAACCGGACAGCCCGTAAGGTCTTAGAATGTGGTTTCTTCTAGCCCACTTTGTTTAAAGATGCTCTAACCTTTGTGCAACAATGTGACAGGTGTCAACGCACCGGGGCGATTACCAAGAGGGATGAGATGCCCCAGAATTTTATATTGGCTTCTGAGGTATTTGATGTTTGGGGCATTGACTTCATGGGACCGTTTCCGGGCTCTAAAGGTAATAAATTCATTCTTGTTGCTGTGGATTATGTTTCTAAGTGGGCTGAGGCCGAAGCTCTGCCCACGAATGACGCTAGAGTTGTGATTCGTTTTCTGAAGAAATTGTTCTCTAGATTTGGAGTGCCACGAGTTTTGATTAGTGACAGGGGCACCCACTTTAGGAATGATCCCATGACATGCCTTCTGGCAAAGTACAGGGTCACTCATAAAGGGGGAGTCCCTTATCACCCTCAAACTAGCGACCAAGTTGAGAATTCGAATAGGGACATTAAGGTCATCCTTGAGAAGACAGTTGAGACCCATAGGAAGGATTGGTCCGATAAGTTAGATGATGTGTTGTGGGCATTGCGTACAGCGTATAAGAAACGCAATGGCACTACTCCGTTTCACTTGGTTTATGGGAAGGCGTGCCACCTTCCGGTAGAGATTGAGCATAAGGCCTATTGGGCATTGAAAACGCTGAATAAAGATCTTTCTTTGACAGGTCGTGAGCGGTTTTGGAAACTCAACGAGTTGGATGAGTGGAGGCTTATGGCCTATGAGAACTCTAAAATTAGTAAAGAGCGCACCAAAGCTTATCATGACCGGCAATCCGGCATATCAAACAAGGCAAAGAATTTTGTAAGGTGGATCAAGTTCTGCTATTCAATCCCCGAATGAAAATTTTTAAAGGAAAGTTGAAGTCTAGGTGGTCTGGCCCCTTCGTAGTAAGCGAAGTTTTTCCATACGGAATAGTTGAAATTGACCATCCTGAGAAGGGCCGTTTTAAAGTTAACGGCCATCACCTGAAGAAATACTACGGAGGACCGTTAGATCACGAACATGAGGTGACCTTTGTCATGAATTTTGGGAGATGAATGCGTAGTTGCGTCGGGCAAATGACGTTAAAATAGCGCTTCTCGGGAGGCAACCCGAGCTTAATTTTTGCTTCAGTAGTTTAGTTTTTACTGCTTTTCCAAAAACCACAAAAACCCCAAAAAAATGTGTTTTTGGCCGGGCACGGTCGTGCCTGGGCAGGCACGATCGTGCCTACATTGAAGGAAATTGCGGAAACTCACTGCCAGCCAGGCACAATTGTGTCTGGCTGGGGGGCACGATCGTGCCCCAGATGCGAAAAGGGGATGCCTACTGCCAGCCAGGCACGATCGTGTCTGGGCCGGGCACGATCGTGTCTGGGCGAATTTCCCAGATTACCCCCGCGTCAATTAAACCCAAACCCAGCTCTTCTTTCCCCTTCTTTCCCTTACGCGAGCAGTCTTCGACTTTTTCCCTTGCGACCCACGATCGACAACCGCAGCCAACAACAACGCCGAGCCCGCACACCACCGTCACCGACCGCCTTCCTTTCTCCCTCTCTCTCCTCTACTCCAAACAAGGTAATCTTCTTCTTCTCCATTGTTTCTTTCACCATTAATAGAGGTTTCAAGCTTTTACAAGTTCGAATTTGCATGAGCTCAAAAATTAGGGATTTGTTTATCTATGTTTGATTCGAGACTTGTATTGATGATTTTGATGTTCTTAGTGGATGAATTAGCCTCTATTTTATGAAATCCCTAAATTTTGAGTCGATTTTGCAAAATTAGGGTAAATTTTGCCAATGTGACCATAATTTGGGGTTTTTTTATTTCTTTGCTATCTATGAAGATTAATGTATGCTTGTGATGATATATGATTTTTGTTAAGTCCTTTTGTGCATGAATCCCCAATGTTTAGGCCAAACTTTGTCAAATTTGAGAATTGGGAGTTCTTTCCCTAATGTTGATTTTCCTTCTAATTCTTTTGGGAAGAACTTCATTCTAAACATTTGTGATGATAAACGATGCTTGCTTGTGACCTTGTTTATACTGTGTGTCATTGAAAATTTGAATTTTATTAAAAGAGCCCTTCTTTGATAAAAGTTCAAAATTTTCAACTATTCTGATTAAACTTGGGATTATTTTAGTTAATGATGATCTTGGTTGATTAATTGCTAACGGGGCCATTACTCTGATTTGTGAGTCTATTCTAACACTTGGACGCCCCATTGGAATTCTTGTTTTTGACGTGTTTTGACAGATGCCAAGACAAAAGCACACTAGAGGTGCGGGTGCCAGCTCTAGCAGGGCCAATGCTGCCTGGTACCAACCGACTTTTCGACTACTCCGAGATGAGATGAAGTACGTTGAGCTGCTACCCAAGTTCTTATGACCCTTCTAATCGCCTGTTTGTAATTGTTAACTTGAGCTGATTTGGAGCACAAGTGAACCTTTCCTCTTTACCCCCTTTGCATAATGCATTTTTGGTCATCGAGGGCGATGCCAAAGTTTAAGTGTGGGGGAGTGAATTGGGCATTCGGGCAGTAGTTGTGTAGGAGCCATTTTTGGCACTGTTCCTATGCCCTAAATGGGGTAAGAGCAGTCACTTTTTAGGAATTTGATAATTTCGAGGATTGCATTGTAGGAATGGATTCACTTTGAATTAATGAACTTTAATTGCTATTTTTCCTTGGTGAGGCCGAGATTAGAATGGGGTAATGTCTAGTGAGAATCTGAAAGGTGAAAAATTAATATAGCTTGACCTCTTACCTTGCGAAAAAGAGATTGGAGCCCCGGTTAAAAAGCGTAAGTGTTCGCACAATAAGATGAGACTTGGGTATCTTTCGAAAGAAATGGCGTTCTCGTGCCAACATGACAAGGAAAACTGAACCTAATTAAATGAACTTGGAGGCTATTGCAAAAGTTAGCTTTAGTCCTTCGCGTACTTCAAGTATACGTCAAAGCACCAATGGGCCGCGGCGGTTTAGCTTAGTTGTACACCATGTCTACTCTTTGCATAGGTTTAAATGATAGTTTCTAATTTGTATCCTGCTGAACTCCCTGATCCTAAAGAATAGCCCTGAAATTCCTGAATGCATCAAGTATGTGTGAGATTATTCCCAAAACTCTCAATGAAAAGGACTGTTATTCTTTACCATCCACCATCCACCACCGCCTTCACAAGTCCTTCTGATCAATAGCTAGTTTATTGGTGTATGCTGTCATTATTTTAAGGATGTTGTGAATAGTTTTTTCGAATAGTTTAGCTTGAGTGCAAAGATGTAGTTTAGGGAAGAATTTTCTTGATTTAGATTGTCTGTTCTGTGAATATCCCTTTAGCTACGTGTGCATGCTAACTGTTTTAATTCCGTGTGGTGATTATCGTAAGTCCCGTTGTTCGTATTACAACACGCATTTGATGCGTGTTAGAGTCGGATTTTGATGGTTTTCCTAGCCTTAAAGTGTTGCAAGTCTCAATTTTAGCTCAAGATGTGATCATCAGGCGTTGGGTCGAGTTTCGTTGCATTTAGAGTAAAATTGAAGAATTTAGAGACCGTAATCGACATTTAAAGAGGCAATCGGAAGGAGTTTGGAAGCATTCGAGGAAGATTTGAGAGATTTGGAGGTCACCGGGAGATTCACGACGAAATTCTGATGAAGAAAGAGCATTTGGATCGACCTTATTTGCATCCGGGAGCATTTGGAACAAGAAACAGCATGAAACGGTCAAGGATAGGTCAGACACGACCGTGTCTGGGCCTAGGCACGATCATGCCTGAAGAAGAATGTCACGAGGGGCTACTGCCAGCCAGACACGATCATGTCTGGGCCGGGCACGATCGTGCCTCCATCCGAAACGCGTGTATGTTCCGCAGGCACGATCCCAGGCACGATCGTGCCTGGCGTCGTGCCTGGCCCCAATTTGTCCTAATTAAGCTCAAATTCTTTGTTTCCTATAAATATCACCTCCCTAACCATATTAAAAGGGGGATGGAACTTTAGAGAGCTGATTAAGGACGAAATTTAGAGAGCTTTTTAGCAAGGTTTTTCAATTCTTTAACATTCTTTGTAAGTTCCTACTTTTTATCTAATGACAATTATTTCTATTTTTCCCAATTCTATTGATTCTTCAATTATGAGTCGGGAGTAGTTTTAATTAGGGATTTGGGGTTGATGAAGGGGTTTATCATGATGTATGACTAGTTTCTTGATGGTTTAATTGCATGAATGTCGTTTAATTTGTGTTTGAACAATTTAACTGATATCTTTTGTAACCTAGAATGGCAACTAGAATTACAATTGCACATAGAATAAATTAAGAGAGATCTAATTTGTTCTAGGACACATTCACGCACACTTAATCGTTCGCTATGAGATTAGTAGCGATTAAGGGGTCGTAAGCTCGTTCGTCTTGGCAATAATTTAGGATCCTGTCGCATGAGAGATCAGCCTAGTCCCCTAAATTATTGTACTCTACGCCGCGAGAGCGATAAGAACTTAATATTGATTTAGCTAGGCTCAGTCAAATTAAATTCATGTAATTAAGTCTGATCTGCCAGAAATCTGATTACCCCGTAGTCAATCCCTGTTCCCTTCGTCGTTAATCAAGAAGAACCCAAATCTTTATTTTGATTCACTCATTCACATTAGTTTAATTTCTATTCAACCAATAAATCTCGCATGATGCATTTATTTTATTTTATTTTTAATCGCTGAATTTAGTTAATCTTTAATTCCCTTTTGTCCGTTCCTGTGGAGACGATACTCATACTTTCACCACTATTCTACTATTAATTTAAATGCGAGAAAACTAACATCAACGAACATTATCATATGGTCTACACTCCAATAAGTCAAAGCATGTATATGTATCTGTAGAACATTATGATGTGGTCTACATTCAAGTAGTAGTATTTTTGTACTAAACAGAGATTACACATGTTGATAGCAACCTTGGCAACACTATCCTTTTATTTGAGATATAGGGGATAATTGCCAGGATCACTTTTGTCCACAAGCCAGCTAGCACATACGAATATATATAGAAATAAGGAAAAAAAGGAATTGAAGTGGTGTGACATGCACGTGCAACTCCTTAATTATGTACTTATATGTATTTATATGTATTGCGTTTGAGGCGTTATATGATAACTCATCAGTAGTGGTATGACCCTGCAAACCAGCAAAGAGATAATTGTTAACTATTTCATTACTATCGGCAATTAAAGAATATTCCGGAAACATTCTCTATGTGTTTTAGTGCAGGGGTAAGACTGCGTACATCCGACCTCCCCTTATCCATCGTAGCTGGGAGTCTTTGTGGCACTGGGGTAAATGAAAATGAATGAATTAAAGAATACTCCCTCCATCCCGAAATGATGTTCTCAGTCTGATCCACACATATATTTATGTAAGAAAAAAATTAGTTTTGACTTTGCTAAGTATACCTTTATTTTATGTCAGATCAAGTAAAAAGTAGATAAAAAGTAAGAACAGTTGACACTTTTTGCTTCAAAGTAGTTTCCGTTTATAGAAATGAGAATTTATATTTGGGACATTCACAAAACAACGGAAGTTGGAACATCTTTTCGGGACGAGGAGTATAATATAATACTCCTATAATATTAGTAAGAAATAAATAAGCATACCTTTCCACCAATCTCCTCTGTTAGCATACGTTTCATCATTTATATCGTCATAGGGATCGATCGTCTGCTTCTTCGGGGTCTGTTTCTTCTGATGACCAACACAACCCATTTATTTTGTTTGTAAATACAGAAAATGAACTTAATAATATACAAGTGTTGAAATAAATCAAACTCCAGAAGAGTTAAGATTTTGTATTTCATCTAAAACGTTAATCGTAATCAAATGGTAAATTTTCAATGTCGCGAGCTATACTGTACTGTGTAGAGAACAAGATAAATAAGGGGAAAATAATTAAAATTCCCCAAACTTTAAAGGCGTGAGATTAACACCCCAAACTTGCATATGTAATTAAAATACCCCAAACTTTATATAAAAGGTTATTTTAGCACCATAGCAACTATTATTTTTTTCAAAAATGTAAAATAATTTATGGTGTTAATTGCATAATTTAAAGTAGTTTAGACTTCATGAAGACACAATTAACATTTTAAGTTTGCATTAGAAAATAAATAATGTTACCCCCAATCTATATAATTGCAATACTTTTAATTTTCTATTTTAAATTATGAAATTAACCCCATAAATTTACATTTTTGAAAGAAATAATACATGACAATGGTGCAAAAATAATTTTTTATTTAAAGTTTAGGGTATTTAAATTTCATATGCAAGTTTGAGGTATTTACCTCACACCCCTTCAAAGTTTGGTGTATTTTTATTATTTTTCCCAATAAATAATGTTAGACTAGCTTTTCTAGCTAAATTAACATTAATATGGCTATTTTAATTTTTTCATACAAATTTTTCTTTATTTCATTAATAAATACGTAGTATATTATAAATATACTTTTTCATAATTCATCTGATTAGTGATTTGTGTAGCATTTTAAAGAAAGCGTCGTACATACCTTAGGAAAAACGATATCATCTTGGCCGCCGTAGTATATCGATGAGTCGTATGGCCATGGAGTATTTGTTCTTATATAGTCGTGATTTTCCGCTGCTTGAGATGTTCCTGGAAATTCAGGATGAAATTTCTCACTACAGTAATGCTTCCCCTATATACCATTTTATTATTTAAATATATACTGGTAAAAATTGTTCTCAATAGCACACCACTATTTAATACATAGTATTAAGTAGTGTAAATCAGTAAGAGATAGACAAGTAAAAAGAAATAAATGGCATATGTGGACACTAGATAAAATCATAAAACCCTCTACGTGTCTAAAAATATATGAAACCTTTCAAATGAGGAGGGTGATATTTTATTACTTGCTAATATTTATGTGTCTATATGTCTTGTTTCACGTGATCAGTGTGGATATTGTGGCATCCGAAACCCTCGAAGTTAGTTTTATAATAAAAATGTTAATAGTTAGTCATAGGGGTATCTAGTGGGAAATTCGGTTTACGGATCGGTTTTTATCGGTTTCTATTCAGTTTCAATTTATGCAATTTGGGAGATTTTATACATAACTAAAATCATATGTGTTTCGGATTGGTTTTGGTTCGGTTTGGGAGTGTTTCGCTTTGTACTGATTCGGATTACAAAAGAGAAATGACTTCGTTGAATTTAGTTTGGTTTGATTCGATAGTTCATATATTTATCGGTTTATTTGATGTGTACACCGAAATTTTATTTTTTTAGATATAAAAAATAAAAATAGTACTTCACCAGACCTCGTTCTATTTATTACGGAGTATTAAAGTAAAATGTGGAGGGAAATAAAAGATAGAAAGAAAATAATAAAATAATATAAATCAAAACCTAATTTAGTTTACTAGGGTTGATGACATGAAAACGTTTAGCATTTATTAACCACTAGAAAATAAATTCACCTCTCATAAAAGTTGAATTTATTGTTGATTCACATTTATAATATCACATAGAATTCAAAGAAAATTAAACATATTTTTTTTTTCAGAAAAAAATGTACATTGTGCTTTAGTTTAACTAAAATTATATAAATACAATGTGCTATTGTTGTCTCCAAACATTTTTTTCTTATAGAGTACAAAATATTGCAAATACAACTATGCTATATTAGTTAACTTTATCATAATAAAATTATGAAATATGTAAAAGTTAAAATAATGTAATGTAAACATGTATTTTTCCTATCTAAATTATTTATTTATATCCTAAAGATGAAGAGTGAAGACAAATAAAGATGAATTTAATAAATATTAAAAATTGTTCGGTTTATGATTTTTTGGTTCAATACCAAACCAAATCATTTTGTTTGAGAAAGTTCTTACCAAACACTTTTACTTCAGTACGTGAACCTAAACCAAAACAACCTGTCAAAATTTGGTTTGATTCAATTCGGTTCGGTTGGATCAAACCGTTTCGCCCACCCCTTGTTCGTCAAAGTTGCATCCTAAAAGATCGATTTGATAAAAGAGTAGCTCATGATTTTAATATAACATTTTACTATTTTACATTTGTAGCTTCATGATTACTCCATATACACATAAATCGTAATTATATTTCCATGAAGACATACATGTAATTAAGTAAATAATTTTTTGTCGATTTAATATTGTGGGATTTTGTGACAATGTCACATGCATTATTTTTTTAGGAAAAAATAATCAAAGTACTACTATAGAAATTATACTACTAAACGGAATACTTCCCTTTTCATCTATAAAAATGTTCTTTCGAACAGTTATTGTAGCTGATAAACAACCTGTCGGGTCGGGGTGGGGGGCTCCTGGGGTGGGAGATTCCACCTTTTTTGGAACAACAATAGCTGATAAACAACCAGGGGCGGCCCTCGGTGGGGGCAGGGGGGGCAAGGTACATAGGCCCAAAAAAAATGAAAAATTTTAGCCCCATAATTTTTTCTTTCTATTAGATTTGAGTAGGCTGAGTTTTCAGAGTTAAACTACTACTTTTGTCCGGCCCAACAACCCAAATACCCAAGAATACGAAAGCTCTTTGCGGCTAATTCAATTACGGAAACTTCCGTCTTGAAGGGGTTACGTATCAGACTAACAACCTCGCCGCCTATTGCGAGAAAGTTGCTGAATTATAGGAGATTTTTTATGGCATATTTCTTTTAATTTATGTTAAAGAATCCTTTCTTAATTATTGTAGTGGTACTATTTTAGAATTCTTTCTCCTTTTATGAGCTAGTTAACTGATTCACACATATCGGAACTCCCTTTTTATAAAGTCTTGTACGCACCTTTGGTAAGATACAGAAAAATATACATGCTTCTTCTTCTGCCGCGTGAATATCACCAGTGGCGGAGTCAGAAATATACGGTTAAGGAGGCAGAGCTTTGAGAATTTTAAATTGTCGAGGCCAAAGTTTAAAATATCAACATATTTTCTCTAAATTCAAAGTATTTATACATAATATATACTTAAGAATTTTTTTCTTGCAAAAGCCAAGATCCCCTCTTGCCCCTCCCTGTACTGTCTCCACCCATAAATATCACATAAAATATCACCGCCTCAGCACCTAGCCGGACTGCCGGTAATGGTGACCACTGCGGAAAGAAGTTTTTCAATGTTGAAGATTCTCAAAAATATCTACGATCAACGATGTCTTAAGAAAGACTTAATGGATTAACTATATTAAGCATTGAGCATAATGCGTTAGAAAAGCTTTATTATGAAGCTATAGTTGACGATTTTGCTTCACAATATTCAGCAAAGAATGTATTTAAGTAAATTCTTATTTGGTTATTTCAAAAACGTGATTTGATTATGTTTAACTTAATGAATTCAAGTATTTTCTTTATTATAGAAATTTTCAAATATTATTGTTTTACATGTTAATTTAGACAGAATCGAGTTTTATACTTTTTTTTTAAAATAGGTCTATTTTAAATTATTCGCCCCTACACCTTCAAATACACCGGGCCGCCCCCGTAAACAACATGACATTCTTCAAATATTCCCTTTTCTCTATCCTCAATCAATTCTCCATATTAGATTAGAAAAGTAGTTTCACAGACCTGCTTGAGCTGCTGGAGTATGGTGATCCCTCACCAGACCCTAAACAAATGAAAATTAGAAACTAATTAATTTAAATACGCACCCATCAATTTTATTTTAGCATACGTTAATGTTTGACAGAAACGTTTTGAAGAAATACACCACGTTCTTGAGTCGTATATACGACCCTGTCCGGTTGTCCCTTTTCATCAGTAATTTTTTATTTTTGCACTCAAAGATAATAAATCTTGATCCATTATTTTTACATAAATTTATGTAAAACTTAATAAATCGATACTTTTAATTTATGATACTATTTTTAACAAAGAACATTTTTATAGAAATTGCTTAAGTAGGAGTAAAAACGTTTTGAAATTCCAAAATAGGACTTTCATGAATTTATTCCCTAAATATAAGTAATTCTGTCAAGTTTAAAAAAAATGTCATATTTAAAGCCTAACAACGCCAAACTTAGTAGAAATTTACTTCTGTTCAAGAAATAAAAAACATGATAGTCTTATTTTGGAATTTCAATACTTTTTTACTCCTATATAGAGTGTTCTCTCAACATTTTTAAATCAATCTCATATTATCAATATTGCTGGTAAAAATATATAATCAGTCAAAGTTTAACGGCAATGACTTGAAAAATAATGTTTGGCTAAAGAAAAAGGAACGGCGGGAATATTACCGTGGAGGCTGGACCAAAGATGTCGTCGAAGTATGCTCTTGCTCTAGATGCAGCTAAGAGCTCGGGGGCTACTTGTGGTGTTGGCGATGGCGGTGTTTGCGGTTGCGGTGGTGGTGAAGACCGTCGGGGCGGCAGTGGGGTTTGCGGGGGTAATGATGAGGAACGTCGGGTCGTGTTTCCCCTTCCACCCCTGGTTGTTGATTTACCCGACCTCTCCATTAACTAGCAATTAAGCTGGGCTTATGGATACTAATTTTGCTTGTTAATCTAATTATTATCGTCTCTAGAGTGGTAAGCTAGTTGGTGTTAGTTAATTCAGGAAACACAAGGATGGATTGCTATTTATATATTTCTAAACCAGAAGAGAATATGGGAATCATGCACGATGTGATTAACTTAATTATCGATAAGGATGTACTCCCTCCGTTTCACAATCTTTGACACATTTTCCTTTTTTGGCTGTTTCACAATCAATGACACACTTTCTTATTTGGTAAATAAATCTTTACCAAAATAGTGCATAACACTGTCACACAGTGCCAAACAGTGTTCAAACAGTGCCAAACAGTGTTCAAACAGTGCCTAACAGTGTACTCTACAGTAAAATTTACCCTTCAGTAACATTTTTTCCTTAATTCTTGACAAGTCAAACTATGTCAATGATTGTGAAACGGAAGGAGTATAACGTATAAAAAAAGGTAAGGATATATCGTATCATACTGTACATATACTCCCACCGATTCTCAATGAGCTTCACAGTTTGACTTCACACAGATTAAGAAAACAAATTTGACTTTACTGTGGAATGCATTGTTTGGCACTGTTTAGATACTGTTTGACATTGTTTTGCACTGTTTTGATGTAAATAATTTGCCAAATAAGAAAATAAGAAGAAGTGTGAAGTTAATTTTGAGACTTCCTGAAAAAGAAAGTGGGAAATTGTTTGAGAACCCGAGGGAGTATGAAAGAGGCCAGAAAAATACATTTTTAGTGGTGTAAGATTAACTGATTAACTGGTTCTGAAATAGTGAGTGCATGGACGGTGCGGCCAGCGGCGTGTGGGTGGCTATATACGGCGCTTAATTAACCTCATGTTGATTATCTAATACGGAGTATATTAGGTTAATCAAAAGATTTTGGTTACAAGATTTAATTTGTCGCACTTTACTTCCAGTACACATAAAATCAGTTAACTTCGGCTAATAACAATTTCAGAACGAATTGTTGAAGGGAAATTATCCTAGTTAGAACTAAAAAAGTTTGTATGTTTCAAATAAGACAATCGTGTGTTTTTTTAAAAATAGGACTACTTACTGTCATGTTTTGACAGTATCAGATTTTAAGCATAGTAATATTTTCCAAAGTTTGTAATAATTACTCCGACTACCTTATTTAATTATTGTCTAAATAAACGTGTCGTTTTGCCATGAGAATCCTTCAACGAGATGGAGGTACTATATAATATAGTTTGATCCAACAATTAAAGAAATACTACCTTCGTTTTCTTTTAGTTTTAAATGCAACGGATTGGGCTTTTTGCATTATACACATGTTCTACTTTAACCCTATTTTATTTATTAATGTATTATAAATTAAATATTAAAAAAATATTGTCAAATTCCTTTCATTTTAAATTTTTAAAATCTAACTTTTGTTAATATTTTAACTAATGTATTATAAATTAAATTTTAAAAAAGATTGTTAAACTCAATTCCTCGCACAATTGCATTTATTTATTTAGTTTTAATCGCTAAATTTATTTAATTATTAATTCTCTTTTTCCGTCCCTGCGGAGATGATACTCGTACTAAAACCCTTTACTACTACATTTTTATTTGTGCGAGAAAACTCACATCACTTCACGTAACAGAATGGTTGTATAAGCCACATGTGTCCATTGAGTGACGTCAGCTCTGTAAACGTACAGTTGTCCATTGGTGACGTAATCCTAAAGTTGTGTGGAATTGAAATGATTGACCAAGTCCACAATGTTTGTCCGAGGTTCCGATCTTGGCTCGACCTAGGTGTAGAGACGTCAAGCTTAGATGTGAGTGCTTAGCTCATAAATGGTGAGGCCTAGCTTAGCTTGAGTTACGTAACTAGAGATATCGTGTTGATCTTGGATATCTACCACCAGATTCGGCCCGAGGTAAAGTTGTTGTACTACATTTGACTTTGACGTCGGAAGAAGGTTATGCTCGACCTCGAATGTAGATTTGGACTTAACTACTCGATGATTTGAGAACTGGATTTGAGCTCGGCTTCAGCTAGTCTGCCTTAGGTGATTTTGGAGGTTCCTTCACTTAAATTTGGTGGCGTGCACTTTGTCACGGTGCGTCAAAATATATTGATACTAACACTTATACGTAGTATAGGTGAAGTAGAGTTCGTATCTCTAGGGAAAGGAATAATTCTCTTTTTATAAAATTATGTAAATAAAGGGGGGATTTGGATTGAGTGATTTAAGTTAATTAAACACTAAAATGAACGACTTATATGAGATTTAATTCAAGAATAAAAGGGACTTGACATTGCTACTTTCCACTTGTTGATATATTTTAGTCGATCATCGTTATATCTATAACTTTGTCCCTCTCGAATACTCAATCGAGGAGTATATCCAATTCATCGAGGGTAGTTATTAACAACGACCGTTCATTAATAACCCTTATTATTAGTCTAGTATAGAACACCGCCATATACCGACTTGATAGTATTATTTAATATCTTAACTCCTTGATGAAATCAATGGAGATTGATAACCTCAACACAACTGTTTTGGTTTAACCAACAAAATTAATCCCTCTTAAGTTTATCAACCATGACCGTGCATTCATAAACAGAAGTTACTTACTTGTGAACTCATCAATGATTAACCATCGGTTCGTCGATCGTTTCTAGTAATAATTAATATATGAAACAAAACTAGATGATCCTTTAAGTAATGTTCAAAATATTAATATGAAATATGAATAGGACTTAATTAATATTCAAGGAAGAATATTATTCAACGAGATGAATCCTACTATAATTAATATCAAGATGTTAACTAATTGTCATCTTAGCAACACTTCCCAACATTAATATAGAGGAAGAAAATACTACTCTAACTAATGTCAAGATGTTAACTAATTGTCATCTTAGCAACACTCCCCAACATTAATATAGAGATAGTATTAAGGAAAGAACTAATGATTAATATTTAAGGGAAGAAGTTAAGAAAATAACTCACAACATTAATAATCAACAAGCTTCAAGAGCAACACCAAGAATTGGATCTTTAGCTCCTCATTTGGAGACTAAACATAGCTAGAAAAATATAAAGAAATGTTATTCTAAACTGAGCTTAAGAGTATGGAATAAGGGATGATTTTTAAAGAAGAAAAAGTGTGCTATTTATAGGTGTTTTTCAACACCTTTGGCCGGGTACCCGACCGGGTCAAGTGCCTACCCGACCGGGTCCGGTCAAAATCAGATATCCTCCACGTTCTGGTGATCTTCAGCACGTCGTTTTGGCCCGGGTCACATCCGACCCGACCGGGTCAACTAGGGGACCCGAACGGGTCCAGTGATTTTCCAGACAGTTTCATCTGTTAAATCATACCCGACCTGGTGAAGTGTCATACCTGGTCGGGTTTTAGCTCCTGGACAGCCCAACCTCCTTTTTCTTCACTTCAAAGTCCTCCTTTTCAACTCCATAATTCCTAATTCTACTTTACAACTTACAAATGAAGATTAAATTACAATTACAACTAAAATCACACAAATGTTTATAAACTAAATAAAACGATAAACAATACATACAAATCCAACATTAAAACATACACTTATGCACTACTAATTAGCGCATATCAAACACCCCCACACTTAAACCTTTACTCGTCTCGTGTAAATCAAATCTTGTTCAAGAAATCTTTAAAATGACAAGAATATCAACACACACATCCATGAGTGTTTATAGAACAATGTAACACAAAGTATCCCCAAGGATAAAAGAGTAAGAAGGGGTCTTCAACTCCAAATCTCCTATCAAATTCTCTCTCTTTTTTTTTCATTGTTACCCTTAGGATCCTGCAAAAATAAATAAAAATACTTTCTCTCATTCTCTCATTTTGCTTAGGTGCCCTTACGGGTTTTCATCCCAGCTTCCCACATTTTTCTGTTTAGTCCTCACAAACTCACTCTTATTTTTTGCTTTATTTTTGCTTAAGTTGCCCTTTCGGGATTTCAACTTAACAAACTTTTGTTAATTTTTTTAACAAGAATAAAGAGTACGAATGTGACTATTCCATAAAACTCCCCCCCCCCCCCCCCCAAGCTAACCAAAGCACTGTCCCTAGTGCTTGTGTCCATGATGTCCTAGAAGAGGAACCCTTTTGTGGTGCCATTTCTTTCTTTGTTGGTTGAGGAAATTTCGGACTTTGTGTAGGGGGAGTTAGGGAATTCAGATTTTCAGTTATTTGGTGGGTTTTGTTGGTATAGAAATGGAGAGGACAGGAAGTGTGACACCCTAAAAATTTAAAATAGAAATATAATAATAAAATAAAATATAAGCAAATCAGATATAACCTATCTGATAAAAATGAAATAAATATTTTAAATGACTTTATCAGTACTCAAAACGTTAAATAATATTTTGATAATAAAAGTACCTTTTATAAGTCTTAGACTTTGAGTATAGTAGAGTGTACAATTACGTGTACAAAGTTAAAAATACATTGGGTTACTATTCAAATAAATTATAGTATTATTGATGTGATTTTACAAGCTACGTGGTATTCTAAGTCCATAACGGACATATACATAATACCCATACTACATAATTACTACACATCATGATACATACATGCATTACATACATACAAGTAACGTACATGCTTTATAACAAGTGCTAATTACTACACAATTATAGGAAGCATTTACAGAGTTATAACGTACGACTGTTATACTTGTAAATCGACCGGCCAAATTAAACAACCCCTACGTACGAGTATATACATATATGTTGTCGAGGATGAGCAACTGGGACCCGTGCGCTCATCTCTTGGTCTAGGAAGTTTGAAAACCAGAAATAGTGAACCACATAGTCGTCGCAGAGAAAGAGAGCGAGAGATGAGTTGGTGTGCATGGAGGAGATGAAGGTTGTGAATCCTCGTAGAAGTGTCTGAAAAGAGAATCAAGAATCACACCTTCAGGTACAGTGTTAGGATCATCTTCATCAGAAGCGTGTTGTACAGAAGGAGTTGAATCAGCCTGTAAGTATTCTGTTGTGAAGTCTGCCATTTCATAGAATGTAACATTCACACTCTCAATGACAGTTCG